CGCGATTTCATCCCGGTTTTGTGTAGAGGTTTCATGTTGGGGTTCGAAGTTTTAGGTCCTTTATCTGGAATACCAATAAGATGGCTCCATGATGGGGTCCCTCTTTGGGCTCGGAGCACGAGTAAAGGGAGCTAGATAGCTCCTCCGCTGCAAACCTGGTATTCTGTGACATTCCTTTGTTGAAGACCTGGTGTTCTGTGACATTCCTTTGCTGAAAACCCGGTATTCTGTGACATTCCATTGTCGAAAACTCGGCATTCCGTGATATTCCATGGTGATCTGTGATATTCCTTTAGTGAAATCCCGGTCTCCTCTGATACTCTGGCCCTGGGGCTTGCCCGGAACCCAGGAAAAATCTAGCTTTTTCTAGCTTTATCTAGCTTTCGCTAGCCTCTTCTAGCTTTTTCTAGCTTTCGCTAGCCTTTTCTAGCTTGTTCTAGCTTTGTCTAGCTTTTGGTAGCCTTGCCTAGAAGAGCGGATTCCGATCGTACGAAAATATTAGCAGTTCGGGGTCTGAGCCAAAGAACCTCCTGAAACAAATGCATTTAGGCGCTATGGCCGACGGATCGGCAGTGGATTGCCGGCACAAACAGAAGTCAAAGCCCGCCTCCGACTGCTAGGAATAAATAACACCCACCTGTAGTTTCCTGCTGTGTCTTCACTTGTTACAGGCCCTTCAAGGGCACACTGTACCACAGGAAATCCGTAGCTTCCCAGCCCAGGACATACTTCAATACAGGAAACCCGTAGCTTATCTTAGTTTCCCTTAGCTTCTCTTAGCTTCTCTTAGCTTTCTTGCAGATTCCTGCGAAAAGCTGTGGAAAGCTAGATATGTACGCTTAATCAAAGAGGCGCCCAATCATTGAGCCATCTTACCGGTTTTAATGACTTTAGTTCTTGGAGCCCACAGAGGACTGCTGATCCGTCCTTGAAGCGTTATAGTGAACCCCAGAGAGTTGGAACATGGACTTAGGATGATTAGTGCTAGGATTCCCTTTACTTTACCTTAAGGGAATGAGGATAATGATGTTCCAACTTTCTCGCTTCTACTGTATGTGTATCCGTATCCATCTAGGCTTTGTGGGGCCTAAGCGCTCAAGCAGGGTTGCAGGGTAGTCTCGATATGGTTAAAGCCAGCACCCTCTTCCAGTCGCCAAGGCCCCTACAATAAAGGGGCCTGAATTATTACAATAGGTTTTTGGGACCCATTATACTATATTTGTCATAAGAGAGGCCCCAAACTAGTATTGGCAATTATTTAGGCCCTATATTAATTATGTAAAGCCCTAACAATGCGATATCGCCTGTGAGTGTCAACAACGGAGGTCTATTCCAAATGTCAAGGCCCCTATATTAATGACCGGGGTGAGGCGAACAAAATGAAAATCGCGCTGCTGAAGATCCCGAAGCGCGCGGCCATGCAGGCTGCGGAAAGTCGGTCAAGTCTTGGGCGAGGGGGGATGGGATTTCTGTCGATGATTTGCTTTACGGTGCTATGCGGGGGGGTATTTTAAGTCTCGGTCAAAGCCCTGATAAGACTCTTCGTGAAATTTCTTCAAACTCCTAATCAAGCCCGCTGGAATGTCGCGGAAACCTTGTAAACTCTCATGACATGAGCTTAAACAGCCCTAACCCCTGAACCCTATAAACCTTAACCCGTAAACCCTATGAAGCTGCTTGGAATGAGGATGTCCCAGATCGTCTAGGCTCCCGTCCTGCTAAAGTCTCAGCTTTGGCCTTTCCCCAAAAGCCTACGCCCTAACCTTGAATCTTAAACCGGCCACGGTTTAGGGTTGAGGGCTTAGGGCTTAAACCCGAAGCCCTGCCACGACCCCGTAGCAGAGCGCTCATAGTCCTTAATAGCGGGTATTTGGTGTATAACAGAGCGTAGTTGGGGGGTCTAGGTAGAGCCTAAGTAAGGTTATAAGTACTGGTACCCTAGTTGGGGTTATAAGTATTATAGTTAGGGTCTAACTAACTATAACCCCACTCATAACTGCCCATGAACCTACAATGTAAACCCACAGAGCCTGCTAAACAAAAATGTAAGATACAGTGTTCCGGGTCCCGAATCAAGTGTTTCTCATCGGCCGTAGCTGAGAACCTTAGATAGTGAACGGGGGAACTTTAAACTTTTTGGCCTCTATCCTTGAAAGTTTGAACTTTTTGGGGCCCGGTTGTTGAAGAAGAGAGATGCAGGGTGTCACTTGTTTGAAGAGATTTTGCGAGTTTTGTCGCCAAACGCGTCCTTGGGCACAGGGCAGTCAAAGTCAGCCGAACCGTGTCTGAGGCACTGGATAGTTTTTTCCTTGTGAAAGTGCCATGCCGGCTTCACCAAGGTCATAACATGTCATAACCCTTAACCCTAAACCTTCATACATGGGTAGTTCTCAAAGCTAGGGTGCTTGTTAGTGTCTTCGCTTTGTTTAGGCCCTAAAGAAGACGAACTGCTCATATGTATGTGTGCAGTGGAACGGGATGGAGACTTTTGGCACTACGCCTCTCTCTCTCTCTCTATACATATATATATATATATATATAGATAGATTTATACAAGAGTTTGAAAGGGCATGTGCTGCACTTGCCTTGCAGGCACTCTAGCCCTGCCCTAAAGAACCTAGATTGTTAGGGTTCCGTATTATGATTTCTTTATACAAGTCTTCACAGAGGTAGGTTCTTTGAGGTCTAGGTGAACCCTAAAGATTGTCTTCCGATATGCCAACTCGCAAAGGTTGCGAGCAGCATCTGTAATATCGGGAAGCACCTGCGCAAACCAGACTAGTAACTCCAAGTATACTTGGAGGTTCATAGGTATGCATAGTAAGCGGGGTTATAAGTCCCCCAAATTTGGCTTGCAATTTTGGTCACCCTACTTCTAACCCCACTGATAACTGCCCATGAACCTCTAAGTAGGAAGCTTACTTTCGATCCTGTACGTACTTAGGACTCTTTTGGGACTGACTGGCCTCTGCTATGCGCCACATGGTTTAAAGGTTATAAGGCTCTGACTACCTATGTTCCCCATTGCAGTCCTTGTTTTGGGTTAACCATTTTTTTGGTATAGGATCCTACACTACAATAAATTTGGTTAACCAAAGAAGGAAGTACAATGGAGACTAGATGTAGGTTCCCCAGTAGTACCTGTTTGCCCTGTTTATTTTTGGGTCCACTTACAGAAACTGAATATTAGGAAGAAGGGTACACTTAATACTAACGGGACATTGGTGAACCTCGTGTGCAACCCCCTAGAACCTCAGTAGCTTGAAGCTCAGGAGCTTGAAGCTGTACAGCTTGACGTTGGAAGTCCCAAAACCTATTGCTTCAGGAGTCATATGCTATGATGAAGCGGTCAGAATCGGTCAGAACCTACCATTTCGTAGGGTTTGGGGTTTCGGGTACCGGGCAGATCTTAAACATCCTTAAGCCCTAAACCCGAAACCCGAAACCCTAATCCCTGAAACCTTACAGTCTTTAGATCCATATGGGTGGTTGTCAATATTAGGGTCCCTTTTTCGGTCCTTAATATGATACGTCACCTAATATTTACAAGGGTACCCCAAAAAGGGACCCTAATTTTGACAACCACCCATATGGGTTTGGGGTTTAGGATTTAGGGGTTCAGGTGACTCCCGAAGGGCTCTGAGTAGAGGCCCTAAACTTGGAACTTGGGAAACGGAGGTGACAGTCTTTAAATCCATATGCCTGTGAAACCAGGCGAAGCTGAAGAAGATCGCGCCGCGCCAGGTCAAGGTGCCCCCCCCCCCCCCACGTTCCGAGCACCTAAGGAAGCTGCGGAAGCTGTTTGAGGGCGTGTAGGGCTTGGGGTTTTTTGGGTTTAGGGCTTAAACTATTTAAAAGGTTTAATGGGTACAGATTAGGGTTTTGAGCTCAGAGTTTAGGCTTCAGGCCTTACGGTGGCCACTTTACGGGTTACTTTAAAGGTAACCTGTAGGGCTGCTAAGTTTAAAGGGTTTGGGTTTACATAGGGCTGTGGGTTCCGGGCTCTAGGGTTTTAGGATTTAGGGCGTTTAGGGCGTTTAGGGCTTAGGGGTTTAGGGTTTAGGGCTTTAGGGTTTAGGGTTTAGGGTTTAGGGTTTAGTGTTTTTTTGCTCACCGTCAAGGATTGGGGATTTTTCGGCATATCATGCTTTGTTTGAAGTCAGAGATGCGGCGCCGGCAAATTTGTGGGGGACGGTTGGAACGGTAGACCCTCCAGGAGGCTAGCATGCGCTTTTTCTCCATATTCGCACGATATCCGCTTTAATCAAGCCTGAGTCTCCTCGTGCCTCCGAAAGAATGCCATCTCTCGGGGCAGGTGCAGGTGCCACGCCTAACTCGTTTTCAACAGCAGACGGGAATACTGTAGCTGGCAAGTCTATTTTGCAATTGCAAGCACGGGGATAAGTCCTAAACCCGTCACTCTACAAGCTCGACCTCCCTAAGCCCGCAGCTTATACCCTTCTCACCGTAAAGCCCCAAGCCCTACGCCTGCGTGTTTTCGTGCGGGAGCTCACCACTCATGCTCTCGGCTCGCAAGAACTGTAAGCCTGCGTGGCAGGCGAACCACGGGCGCAAGAACCCACACTCCCACTCCCAGCCAAGATCAGAGTTTTCGAGCTCCAGCGTTTGAGGGGGTTCAAAGTTAAGGGTTTCGGGCAAATGGTTTGAGGTTTTGAGATTTCGGGTGCAGTGGTGCGGCAAGCAGCATACTGTGATTCAAAAAGGGGACGCCCGCTTTCGCTCAACCCCAAACCCTCCCCTAAACCCTAAACCCTAACCCCATCTCAACCCCTTCAGCCAACCTCGAGACCAACAACCCTCAAACTCAAGTGTAAAGCTTTGGCATGAAATTACAAAAACAGTTCTTCACGAATCCTCAGTATAAGTACATCCTCTGACTCTAGCATACTCCCAGACTCTTCGCTAACTACACTGAGGCCGCTAGATTACACTAAGTTCTAAACCCCAGACCTTGGCCGTAAGCCCCCAGCCGCGCCGCGATGCCGAAAGCACTCAAGAAGAGGAAGCCCAAGCCGGCGCCTTACGATGAAAGCCTGCCGTGGTCCGTCCCTCCGAACCCAGAGCCTCCAAGATCCCTCAATTAAGGAACCTCTAGGGTTCCTTTAAGGTGATCTAGAGGGTTTAGGGTTTAGGGGGTTGTAGCATCACGATTAATTAAGGAAGATTTCTTAACTCATGTTCCGGATCCTATTCTAACTTAAGGTATAGTCCTTAATTGAGGGGGTAGTAGCATCCCCTAAACCCTCGAGATCCCTTATAGATCCCTTCAAGGAACCCTAGGTATTCCTTAAGGGGTATTGGAGTCTCTGGGAAGATGGATCGGGACATGATCCCAACACACCCCAAGCCGCACGAGCTCCACGCCGAAAGCCTCAAATCACAAGTTTAGGGTTAAGGGTTACTTAGAGGCCCAGGGGACTTAGTAAGTTGGCTATCAGTGGAGCTAGAAGTACCCTAAGTGGAGTTACCCAATTATAACCATACTTATAACCGACTTACTAAGTCCCCTGGGCCTCCAAGTACCTTAAAGAACCCACTTCTTTGGGGCTCCTTTTTTGTGAATTCCTTGTACAGGTCATTAGAAGAATAGGTCATTCGGGGTCCATAGGGACCTGCAAGCCCCAAACCCTGAAATCCCAACCCCAAATCCTAAAACTAGAGTAGAACCCTCAACGGAACTCCTCAGGGTCTTCAAGGAGCCCTTTGAAAGGAAGCCTATCCAAGGCCCGTCCCTGGCGAAGAGAACGAGCAGAACGGTTTCGCCAACCTCGAGGCCTGTGTTTCTTCTGTAGGCCTTTGGGGCTGCTTTCATAGGGTTCCTCTAAGGGTCTAGGGGCTTAGGGTGTAGGATTTCAGGGTTTTGGGGTTCAGGGTCTCAGGGGTTAGTGTTCAGGGTCTAGAGTTTTGGAGTTAAGGGGTTTAGGGTTTCCGGGGTTTAGGGTTTAGGAGTCTGGGGCTTCGATTTTTGCTAGGATTCCTGAAAAGGCTCCCGTTAAGGATGCCCCAAAGGGTTCCTATAATCATGTAAGCTAACCATGTAAGCTCGTATTATCCTATTTGGGGTCCTTCAAGTGGTACCCCAGAGGGCAGCGGCCAAGAGTAAGGCCACAACACACACCAACAGCATCTCCGCCCATCCCGAATGCCCGACAACAATAATTGGTGGCCCTTCGGGGAAACTTTGATTTCCTCAGTTAAGTAGCTTTAAACGAAACCTATTCAGACATACTTGTGGGTGGCCCTGAAGCGCACCAAGCATCAAGCCGGTTTGGGATCTGTTGTTGTGTGGGGTTTAGGAAGCTCGAAACGGGCTTGTACTGGGGCACCTCGCAGTAGGAGCGGATTAATGAGCCGACGCCTTGGGGACCCGATGTTCTGGGTAATCTTCAGCAACAACAGCAGCACCAGTACAAGCAGCAGCAGCAGCAGCAGTAGGTTGGCATGAAGTTCTCCCGCAGAGACTCGGGTCTATGCGAGGTTACCGAAGGTTAGTTACTGATCAGCATCAGTGTCAATGACATCAACGACAGCATCAGTGTCAATGACATCAACGATCGTTTTATAGCCGTGGCCCCTCATTGACTTCTTGAAGATGTTGCTAATGAGGATGTGGCCAGAGAAATCGACGGCCCTTCCCGCATTTGGGAGGGGTCAGCCGGGGCCTGTGAGCTCCTCTGCATTTGGTACTCCTAGTAGGGGTCCGGGTGTCCTCAGGCCTAGCGGTTCCCCGAACCCGCCTTCCCTAAGACCCGTGGGCTCACCCGAGCCACGCTCCCTCATCGAGGCGAGCTTCCCTGCCATCCCAATTCGGCACGCAACCTGAGGTCTTCTGCTTCTTCTCCTCGGGAGAGAGCGTTAAGGACCTGGCTGGCCGGCTGCTGGGCTGGCGCGGTGATCCAGGGTCGAGCCGTGACCCCCCAACTGCACTCCGCGGCTTGCACTGGCTTCCCGGATCTACGTGGTCCTACGAACGCATCGCAGCCACGACGTCCAGCTGGCTTATACTCGGAGTGATGACCTTTTGCTGGTGGACAGCCTGCAGGACACTTACACATTGTCCCACGGGTTCCCGACAGAGGTTGAAGCAAGGAGCGGGTCTCCGGTATCCGACTCAAGCTGCGAGAAAGTGAGAGATGCACAGCATGCCAACCACGTAAAGAAAACCCATGAACCTCCAAGTACCGTCAACACCCCAAACCCAAAAAAGCCGCAAACCCATCACAACAGACACCTCAAAGCCTGAACCCCAATCCGTGATGCCGTAGATCCTGCACCGCACACCCCAAACTCGGAACGTCGAGCCCTCGGACCCTAGACTCCAAAGCGTTTATATTTAGCATTAGTATTAACCCGTGCATAGTATCATACTAGTATATTCTAGGTTTGTAGGTCTAAGGGGGAATTGGAATCTTAGTATATGAATGTATTGGTGTTTTAGGGTTTAGCGTGTAGGTTTGGGGTTATGCTGATATAAGCCCTAAAACTTGAAGGCTGTAAATCCTAAGCCCCAGAACGCCTAAACCCTAAACTCTGAACCCTAAACCCAAACCCTAAGGCCTAAACAAAAGTCCCTCAACCCAAAACCTTAAACCGAACAAACCGCAAAGGATGTGGCGAATGTTCTTGCGCGGAAGCTCGAGTTCCATTTCACGCACGACAAGGCCGGGGTTTTGCCCTCGTCTGGGCTTCTTGTCCTACATGTAAGGTTTCCAGTGTTAGGGTCTTGTGTACAGTTTAGGGGTTTGGGTTTTACGTAAGGTTTAGGTTTGGGTTTAGGGTCGCGGATTCTATTTAAAAGCGTTGGAGTACGCACATAGGTACATACCGTCTTCGATGACAGCTCCAAGAACCCAACATGTGATACACGCAAGATCGTGTCCCCTCGCTTGAGCGTTCTTTTCGACCGGCTTTGTACTTGGAGGGTCGGGGGGGACTTAGTAATTAACTGGATACTTTAGGAACTCATTGTACCACTACCCCAATTAGGCCTACTACCTACTTACTAAGTCCCCCGACCCCCTAAGTGTGGAAGCACTCAGCTTTTGACACCCTCAGAGGCCCGTGTCGTCGTTCGCGTTGGTGCTGAAGCTGTCCCAGACAGTGACTCTAAACCGCTAAACCCTAAAACCTTTGCAAAATAGCTGCGTGGGTACACCTTACACCTGTTTATGTGAAATAACCCCTTACAAAAATAAAGCTGAAAGTGTACACTTCTTGGGGCTTATAAACTCAGCAACTAAGCTTTGATTGAGCAGTATTCCTTGCTAGTTTAGTAGGGGTGCTCACTTGGAGGGTCGGGGGACTTAGTAACTGGTTATCTTAGGGACTTGTAAGTACCATAACCCCAATTAGGGTCCCTTTTAGTACCTACTTACTAAGTCCCCCGACCCTCCAAGTAAGGGTCCATGTACCCAAATAGTATATACTTTGGGCCCAATGTACCTATATAGGGAGTACTTTGAGGCCAATGTATATACTATTTGGGTACATTGACCCTTAAGGAAGGATGCAGATAAAGAGCCGCAGAAAGCCCTGAAGAGCCCCGAGGACTGGCCCGTCAAGAAACAGCACAACGAAATCCTTCGATGCTGGAAAAACGATCCTTTTGAAGCACATGGAACCCACTGCAAACTCCCAACCAGAGCCTTTTCCAAACTCGGGTTGCGGTCCTGCTGAAGCCGCTCTCAGGCAATCTGAAGAGCTCTAGGCTATGTGCCTAAAAGCACCACATGCACCCATGCACTCGAGCACACAGCGCCCACGCACACTGACACTGAAACGTCAACAGCTACCTGGATAGACGTTTGAGCAAACACCAATACTATTCCTTCGGGCTACTGATCAGAACTGTGTAGTACTGTATACCCCAGAGCCATATTCAACCTACTATAAGGCAGCTGTATTATGTTAAATCTCTCAAGCTCTCTGGAGCCGCTAAACCCTAGACCCTAGACCAAAACCCCAAACCCTGGCACCCTAAACCCCAAACCCGAACCCTCTAAGCCATACTTGTAGGGTCGGGGGGACATAGTAACTGGTTAGTGTAGGGACTTATACGTTCCATAACCCCAATCAGGGTCCCTTTTAGGGTACTTATAAGTCTACTTACTACCTACTTACTAAGTCACCCGACCCTCCAAGTAAGCCCTAAACCCTGTACCCTTATAGAATCCTTATAGAGCCCGTTAAAGGAACCCTTAGAATCCCCTTTAGCGGAGCCCCGACCCTCCAAGTAAGCCCTAAACCCCATAAACCCCAAACCCTAACTAAACCCGAACCAGGATTCCGAGCGCGCGGTGGACACGGCAGAATGCAAGGAGCTTCTGCAGGCGACGCTGATGGGGAACTTGTTTGTTTGGGGCGTTTAGGGTTTAGGGTTTAGGGCTTAGGGTTTAGGGTTTATTTAGGGCTTAGGGTTTAGTGTTTAGGGTTTAGGGTTTAGGGCTTAATTAGGGCTTAGGGTTTTGGGTTCAGGGTTTAGGGTTTTGGGGCGTGCTTGGAGGGTCTTTAGGGGACTTAGTAAGTAGTTTGTAGGTGCTCCTTTAAAGGGGGTTCTAAGGGTTACTTTAAAGGGCTCTATAAGGGTACTATAGGGGATTAGTAAGTAGTTAGTAGGTAGACTTATAAGTACCCTAAAAGGGACCCTAATTGGGGTTATGGTACTTCTAAGTCCCTAAAATAACCAGTTACTAAGTCCCCCGACCCTCCAAGTGGGGTTTAAGGAGAGAGGGTGATGTCCAAATTGATTTCTGTTTGGGTATTGGCTCCTAGTAGAATACGAGTAATTACAATCAAATTCACGGTTTACGGTATACGGTTAGCTTGATTTTAGCAAGTACGTAGCCTGCCTCCCTGAGTATGGCGACCTAAATAAAGATGCCAGTGAAGAGTTTGAGAATGTGTTGGGTTCGAGCTCAGGCCTTCGCATATAGGGCTTCGATTGGGTTCGGTTTCTGGTCTAGGCTAGCATCATTGATTACCATCTCGAGGGATTTTGCGGATTTTGAGTTTCTTTTGGGGATCGGGGGGGTGGGGGTGGAGCGGGGGCGGCTGATAATGTCCATTCCCACGGCGACCATGCCTGCCCAAAAAGGCTGCTTTTCTTCTTTGCTCAACATATTCCACAAGCGCGTTTGACATTTCTGGAACAAGACTCGCTGTCATGAGCATTCATGCCGACACCATTGGTATTTCCAGCGTTTGTCCCTCCAACAAACCTTACTTACTAAAGCCCTTCAAAACAAGCAAGCAACAGGAATCCCTTGTACGAACCCCTTTTAAACCTTATGGGAACCCTGAAAAAACCCTGAAACCTAAACCTTTTGTAGGACCCTACACCCTTGTGCTACCCTTAAAGGAACCCTTAAAGGAGCCCTTCCTAGTAGTAGAGTAGGGAACCTTTAACCTTCTTTGGGTAATATAGTCCCTATATAAGCCCATACTAAATCTGAACATGGACACAAGGGGTTTTGGACATCCTTAAAGGTTAACCTGCAGTTGCCCATGATACCCGACAGGTACTTGGAGGGTCGGGGGACTTAGTAACTGGTTATTTTCAGGACTTACAAATACCATAACCCCAATTAGGGTCCCTTCTAGGGTACTTATAAGTCTACTTACTACCTACTTACTAAGTCCCACGACCCTCCAAGTAGGCCTTAAAGGAGCCCTTAAAAGGCGCCTTGAGGGGAGCCCCTGACTTCCGAGCCTGGGCTTGGAACACAGGGGCTCCAATATCCCTTAATTAAGAAATATATACCTTCAATCATACAAGGGATCCCTACTATAATTTAAGGATCCGTTAGGGTTCCATCTTAAGCCCCTCTTTTTGGCCTCCCATCACAGAATCCTACGGAGTATATTTTAAGGTCTATTCCTTAATTGAGGGATAGTGGAGTCTCTGGGGAGGTGCTCGGAGAGCTCCGGCAGAAGGTTCAGGGTGTCCACACCGGCGCGGCTCGGCTGGGATTTACAGGGGTCTAAATCACAATAACTACTCTTTTGGGGGTCTTCTTGTCAGTTAGTTACAAGTATAGTATAGTGGGCCAAAAAACTCCATTCTGCAGTATATAGGTTTGGGGTTTAGGGCTTATGTATGTGGGTTTGGGGCTGAATGCGGGCTTTATGAGAGGTTTATAAAGATTCAGAACTTATGGTTGACGAAGATCTTCAAGCAGGGCTTTACGAAAGGCTTTATAGGCTGATGGCTGCTTCAGAGCTTTGTAAGCGCTTGCTTCAGGGCTTTGTAAGAGCTTTAACATGTTTGAAGAAGGGCTGAGCTGAGTAAGGCGAGCCCGTAAAGGAATCCGTATAAGGTGCTTCGTACGATGCTGGTTTAGGGTTTAGGGTTTAGGGTTAGGGTATTATGGATGTTTCTTGTTCAATCATGGGAAATTGGTGTCAGGCTGCTTGAATCACAGATGCCTGTCACGAAGCTTGGTGTTCTTCTTGTCGGTTCTTAGGACTTTAACTTTTTGTGCTTCTATATGAATTAGAACAAGGAGGCTAAAAGTTTACCTTTTGGGGGGGGTTCAGAAGTCAGCCAAGGAACAATCCCGAGTCCTCGGTGGTAGCTCGCGGCTCTCCCAGTCGTATGCCCCTGTCCCTTGCTTGAACCTTGAATCCTCAACTTCAAACCTACTACTTGGAGGTTCATCGGTCGTTATAAGGGGGGTTAGAAGTAGGTTAACTATAGTTCTAACCCAGATTGGGGGACTTATAACCCCACTTATAACTACTCATGAACCTGCAAGTATTGGGTCCCGAGAAGTCCCGCAGTCGTAGTGAACTCTATCCTGGGTTCCTGAGTAGTACCATGTTGCCCTTTTTGATTCTTGGGCCCCCTGATGAAAACAGAATAGTAGGGAAAAAGGGGACTCTTATTATCAGAGGGCTACTCAGCAACCTACCCATAGGCCCCATAGTAGTTCTTGGTTGGGGTTCATGTTTAGAGTTCTTTTAGGTAATCCCAAAAAGGAACTACTTTCGGGCCGATGGGTACTTGGAGGGTCGGGGGACTTAGTAAGTAGGTAGTAAGTAGACTTTTAAGTACCCTAAAGGGGACCCTAACTGGCTTGGGGTTATGGTACTTACAAGTCCCTAAAATAGCCAGTTACTAAGTCCCCCCGACCCTCCAAGTAGCTACGATTGAGACCTTCCAATATCCCTTAATTAAGGAATATACCCTAAAATATAGCAGGATCCCCAATATGATTTAAGGAATGTTCCTTAATTAAGGGATTTTGGAAGGTCTGGGTACGATTGAGACCTTCGGGAGTCTCAATGTGATTCCGAGGGCCCTCAAAGACACTCTTGAAGCTCCAAACACCGCCCGCCAGGGTTTATAGGGTTTATAGGGTTTATATTATTTATGGGGTTTATAGGGTTTAGGGTTTGTAGGGTTTAGGGTTTATAGGGTTTTGGGTTCAGGGTTTAGCCAGCAACATAGGGGCCTAAATAATTACCAGTACTGTTTTGCCGGTTCCTTATCATACCAATAGTACAAGGGGCCCCCAAACCCAATTCTATTTAGTAAGGCAACATATGAGCATCCTCGGAGAAGGCCTCTATGAGGAACCAGCTCAACAAGGACCCAACAAAGACCTTACCCCAAACATCCCTAAAACCTACAGGACAACCTACCTTAACCCAAATAAACTACCTTCTTAAGGTAAGGATCTTTATGTAGGGAAACCATAGTACAGAACCCTAGTTAATTATACCAAATAAAACTAAAGAGGCAGGTTCTTTCGGATCTAGGCAAGCCTAAATCCATCTGCAGCCTGAGGCGTATAAGATGCTTGTACAGAAGCTCGAACGAGGTGCGCGGCAGCAGCAAGATTTTTCAGACCTTGCGTTTACCAGGCCTTACTTGGAGGATCATGGGTAGTTATAGGCGGGTTTTTAAGCCTCTTCATATGGGCCATAAGCTTAAAGTTGCCTTAGGCCCTGCTTATGCCCCCCTTACTACACACCAACCTCCAAGTACACCCTTAACTCCAAAGCCTAGGCATAAACTCCGAGCCCTAAACCCGGTGTTTGGGGTCCGGCCTAAACAAAAGCCTGTACAGTGTAAAGCAAAATTGCAAGTCCCTCCCTAAATCACTGAGACCCTTACTTGGAGGTTCATGGGCAGTAATAAGTGGGCTTCTAAGTAGGGTAATTATACTTATAACCCATATTAAGGGACTTTTTATTCCGCTTATAACTACTCAACAACCTCCAAGTACTGAGCTGTATTTCTGAGACCTGTTCCTTATAAGGGAACCACTATGAAATAACAGTCTGTACTTTTTTCCGACCCTAAGCCCTAAACCTTAAACCCCTGAGCCCCAAACCTTACACCCCTCAGCCCTAAGCCCTAAACCCTATAAGCCTTAACCCCCTAAACCCCTAAGCCTGCATCCCAGAATCGTGAGGTTTAGGAATGAAGCTTTAGGGCCCATCCCAGGGTTTAGAGGTTAGGGTTTAGAGTCTAGGATTGTCGGGTGTAGGCTCAGCCTGAACGCCTAAACTTCTAAGCCATCCTCTTCCTGCCTGCCCCTCGATTTCTAATTGTGTTGGCTTCTGCTTCACTGGATGTTCACATTCAGGTCTTTGAGGGTTTAAGGGTTGGGGTTTAGGCTAGTGCTTTTGTAGAATATAATTCCGGGCGTACAAAGGTTGATGTATTTATTGTGGTCTAAGGGTCTTGTAGAAGCCCGGCACGCCGCACCCTACCCAGAAGAAGCCCTCGATGCTGTAAAACCTGAACCTTGGGATTCACGGGTTGAACTTCCCTGCAGCTTTACTTCTCAGGTCTTCGTCGTTACACTAGTTCTGGCCTTAGAATTACGTGCAGAGCTCAGGGCTCAAGAAGCAGAATGAAGCGGACGCCCGACAGATGGCTTCCTCTAAGGAGGTTCTACAAGAGGGCTCCCTAAAGAGGTAGTCTCTGATAACGCTTCGCAAGCGGTGCCTGCGACTTCAGGGCCGCGCAATGCAACTGCGTCGGTACCTCCGCGACAATTGGAGAAGCGTTTCCATTTTGGAGGACTACGCCCGTGAGCGCCACGGCTCCTGAAATCCTGACTGGGATGGGCCTGAGGCTGATGGTGTCTGAAAAATTTGGGACTAGACCGTGAAGAACCTCCTGTAAAGCAACAGCGCCATGTGTGACTGTGCGGAGATCGTTTTAAATACGCCTTATTATTAAGTCCTTATTATAGGTATTAAGGCCCCCGACCCCCTCCCCCTACTCACCTAGGGGTCCTTACGGTTGATGATACAAATCCTGCATTACCTTAAGGACCTAAACTATGGGAATTATGGTATATTCCTTACTATGGGTCATGCAGGATTCATATCATCAACCGTATGAACTCTACTTGGAGGTTCTTGGGTAGTTATAAGTGGGGTTATAAGTAGGGTAGCTATACTTATAACCCATATTAGGGGACTTATAACTCTACTTGCAGCTACCCATGAACCTTCAAGTAGGGCCTAAACCCTATGCCTTTATAGAACCCCTAAAGATCCCTTTAAAGGGACCCTTAAAGGAACCCTTGCAACTACCCATGAACCTCCAAGTACTTAGAGCAAAAGGTAGGGGACACCGGTCGCCTGTTGCTCACCCAACGGCTGTCTGCGGACCGGACAGGAGCCCTTGAAACCAAGAAAAAGTCCCACGCCGTGAACCCTAAACCCTAGAGGTTTAGGGTTTAGGGGTTTAGGGTTTAAGGTTTAGGGTTTAGGGTTTAGGGCCCTGGACCCCAAACCAAGAAACTCATCTTTAAGCTTAGATGCCCAAAGGCCGAAGCTTTAAACTCGAAGGAGGCCGACCCGTCAGTTTCATACCCTTGACCCCGCCTGGGGATCCAAAACCTACTATGTGAGGGCTTAGGGCTAGGGTTTAGGGGTGATATCCTCCATAGAAAGGGGTTATAAACCTGCTGATTTGTAGGGTTCAGTATTACAGGTCGGTCCTACAACCATAGATCTATCCAGAGAGCCCAATACCTGAACTAACGAATATACCTTAAACCATAATGTTAAGGGCCCCTACAATTTGATATTAAGTGGTATTGGGCTCTCTGGGAACCTCAACCTGAAGCCTTGAAATCTTCAAATCAATAAAATCCTCATGCCATTACAATAAAGTGGACGTAGGCAATCCCAGCACTAATCATCTTAAGTCCATGTTCCAACTATCTGGGATTTACTGTAAGTTGCAAGAGCCATACACCCAGAGAGGCGCCCCTGTAACGTATAACAACGTTGTCCCTACAACCACAGCAGCCGCTATCAGTCTTTGATGAAATACCAAATGCCCTCTACAACAGGTTCTTCGCCACAACCCTTAACCCTAAACCCTAAACCACACTTCCATTTTAGGAACATCATTTCAAAAGGCTGCCCTTCTTCGAAGCCAAAGCTCGAAGCTCTAGCGCACTAAACCCTAAAGCCCAAACCCCCAAAACCCCCAGACCCCCAGACCCTTAACCCCCAAGCCCCTAAACCCCTAAACCACTGAGCCCCTAAATCCTAAACCCTAAACCTCAAAACCTCAAACCCTAAACCCCTAAACCCTAAAGCTCGAACACTAAACCCTAATTAAACCTTAACCCAGAAGTCAGGCCTCGAAGCCACTGGACGGCCGAAGGCCAACGAGGTGGCAACTGCCTGGGCTTTGGGGTTTACGGCTTCGGGTTTAGGGTTTAGGTTTTTGGGGTTTTGAAGCTTGAACACAAAACTGGGGTTTTGTTTTAGGCACTTGGGAACAACCCCTAAACCCCAAACTCCTCAACCCCTAAACCCCTAAACCCCTATAAACCCTACATCCTAAACCCTACATCCTAAACCCTTCACCGTAACAAGGGGGCCCGAAGCCTCTGGCTTGCATCTGATGCTCAGTTGCCTAAACGGGCAGTTCTCTACAGTAGGGTCCCTCTTTACTTGGAGGTTCACGGGTAGTTATAAGTGGGGATATAAGTCCCTTAATATGGGTCATAATTATAGTTACCCTACTCATAACCCTACTTATAACTAGTACGGCACCCTCATCGAAAGGACCCTAACAGGACCCTAAAAGGGACCCTCATTGATGGAAGCACTCATCTGTTATATGTTTGAAGGCACCAAGAGCACCGGAACCCCTGCGGCCAAGAGCATGCCTAAGGCTCCATGTACCCATCTAGCATATACTTAGGCCTTGAAGGGGTTCCTATATGGGTACTTTAGGGTATACTATTTACCAGCCCAAGTCCATAGGCCAGTCCCTAAAACCTAAAACCCTAAAGCCCTATATAAGACCTCAAATCTTAAACCCTAAAACCCTAATTAAACTAAACCTTAACACCCCCAAAACCCTAAACCTTAAAACCCAAAACCTTAAATCACAAAAAAGGATACCTAGTAAAGCCCATCTAAGGAACGCAGAGATCCCCAGCAGGCTCGAATCAACTACTCAGCCTCCTACATTACTTTGGAGGCTCATGGGTAGTTATACGGGTTCCTTTAAGGTTCCCTTTAAAGGGTTCTATAGGGGTTCTATAAGGGTTATTTTCGGGTTTAGGGCCTGCTTGGAGGTTCATGGGTAGTTAGAAGTGAGGTTCCTACAAGGGCTCTCTAGGGTTTAGGGTATAGGATTATAGGGTTTAGGGGCAGTTATACATGGGGTTATAAGTAGGGTAGCCAAAATTATAACCCATGTTAGGGACCTATAACCCAACATATATAAATAACTAACCGACACCCTAAACCCCTAAGCCCCAAGCCCCTACTTGGAGAGTCGAGGGACTTAGTAACAGGTTACTTTATGGACTTATAGGTACCATAACCCCAATTAACGTCCATGTTAGGGTACTTACAAGTGTCTACTTACTACCCACTTTCTAAGTCCCCCGACCCTCCAAGTAGCTAAGCCGGTTAGGGTTTAATTTAGGGTTTAGGATTTAGGGTCTAGGGTTTAGGGCCTGAACATTGTTGGGGTACTTTAACCCCTATAGAAGCCCCTAAACGCCAATACCCCTGAACCCCCAAAAAGCAACCCTAAACCCTAAACCCTATAACCCTTATGTAAGCCCAATAGACCAGGATACTGGATAGGAGAGGCTTAGCTCAAAGTGTGTTGTATTTTGCTCCGGCTTTCGCTTAGGATCTAGGGACGGTTTAGGGCTGGGGGCTTGGCTTGATCTACGTCGTTGCTGCCGTCCATGTCCAGCTTAGCTTGAGTAGCTCCTGTCCCCCCACTGCTGTTCTTGGCAAGCTTTCATGGCGACACCACAAATCGGCAAACCGGAGGTGTCGGAAGGTAGTGACTCGACCGAACAGTACTGGGTTTAGCTGGGACCTTAAGACCAGAACTCTTTGGTTTTTCCTTAGGAGTCTTCCGTTTTTCGAGACTGTTCCAAGTGCCATGATGCTTCGACAATCATCCACAAGTAGACAAAGACTCCCAAACAGCACCGGAGGTCAGGAATGTTTGTGTGTGGTTTACTTGGAGGGTCGGGGGACTTAGTAAGTAGGTAGTAGGTAGACTTATAAGCACCCTAAAAGGGACCTTAATTGGGGTTATGATACTTACAATTCCTTAAAATGACCCGTTACTAAGTCCCCCCGACCCTCCAAGTAGAGTTTGTAGATTTGGGGATGGGTCCTCGTGTTTCACTCTGTGGCCCTACCTGATGTAAGCGACGAGCCCAAAGAGGAGCATCATGTTTGCAGTCGCAACCAGACTGCTGATCCTTTTACCCAACAACTTGGAGGTTCATGTACGTATAGGGTAACCATACTTATAGCCCATATGAGGGTAATTACAACCCTACCTATAACTACCCGTGAACCCCCAAGTACACAGTTCAACCAAACTTGCAGAGAGCCAAGGTGACACCTTCAAAAAGAAGCCCTATGTGGACGGTGCCAAGACCTTGATACTCGCCTTCTTCACTTTAGGAATTTTGGACCCTGCAGCCCTAAACCCTAGACCCTAACCCGTAGACTTTAGGGCTGTTTGAAATTATGTTGAACCGCAGAAATGCGCCTAGCGACAGCGTTTCCGACCTAAACCCTAAGCCGAACGACAAACCTTGTCAACCACAGTTCTAGGGTTTAGCCCGCTAAACGCTAAACCATAAACCCTGGACGTTTGAATCCCACGAAAGAAAGGATTGGTGGGGAGGTGAAGGAGTGGAAGGGTGCCTGCACTGACGTCCTGTCACCTGTGTACTGCACGGAGACTGGAAAGCGCATCCTTATTGGCAGACAGGCCGGGTTTGAGGTTTAGGGTTTGGGGTTCAGGGTTTAGGCTTATCTTAATTGAAGAATCATCTACCTCTCAAAACATCTTAACGCAAGCAAGTACTCCGCTGAAGACCCTGAACCTCAAACTTCCACGCACTAGACTGCATCTGTCGGAAATGGTAGAACTCAAACCAAGCTACAGCCTTTGCTTAGGGTTTGGCACATTAGGTTAACTATATAGATGATTTGCAAGGGATTTGAAGCGGTTTTGGAACTCGCACGTAGAGATCATAGCAGAGACCCTTACAGAGGCCGAAGGTATAAGGCATCCCTGGATTCCCGAATTTCCAGCGTAGGGTTGATGATCTTCGGAGAGCCCTGCCCTGATGCTCCATGTACCCATGTAGTCTATACTTAGGCCTAGGCCTTAAAGGTTCCTATATGGGTACTGTAGGGTATAAGTGGAGCCTTTGGGCTCACAGAAACACCTTGAGAAAAAAGACGCAGTGAAGTCTGAGTCCCACCGAAGTTCTGCCGCCTTACTGCACGATGTTTTGCTCCATGTCTGGTGCTCGTGCTCGGTTCGGGATGCAAAAAGGGTTTAGGGTTTAGGGTTATGTTGTCGATTGTTGGGTGGGCCCGATTCTGAAAGGAGGGGTGAGGCCAGGGGTGCGCTGGAGTCGGACGGCTAAACAAACCCTGACCCCCAAAACTTATAGAACCCCTCGATGAACGCGAGAAAGGAGCCCCGAAAGGAACCAGTACAGAACCCAAAAGCCTATGCACCCAAACCGCTTATCCTGAAAAGACCGCAACAGGAACCCTGAAAGGACCCAAGCCCACAACTTCCGAGACCCTAAACCCTAAACTCAACATGCTACACTGAACGAAGCCCTTGAAGGATTTCACTCCCTACCCTGAACCGTACCTGTGGATCCGAAAACCTATCTACTCTCCTTCGCAGAATTTCCTTGTATACGTCCCTGAAAGTGCAGGTTGTTTGGGGGTTAAGGTAAGCCCCACAAGCCAAACGCCAAACCGTAAACCTTGCACACCTTCAATCCTAAACCTAAACGTTGAACCCTGATCCCCACCGTGAATCCGAAGGCAAGAGCAGCCCTCAGCCCCAAAGTCAACCTATTTGGTTCGAATCCTGCTATAAGCCCTATGAGCTGTATGACCCTCAAGCCAACCCCTCTGCATAACACCCTAAAGGTCCAGGGCTCTAGTTCGGGGACCTTTGGGAACATCTGAAGGCGAACTGTGGTTCAAGTGTGTTTTTGTTCAACGGTATAGGATATACCTAAACGACCAAAACTAGGTAAACGAAAGGCCAAACACCTATAAACGGCCATTGTTCTACATACCTTTTGGATCCAAGTAGGGTTAGGGCGCGTTATCGTCGTTAACGCGTGAAACCTAAACCCTGACCCCAGGGATCAACATAGCCCAAAAGCCTTATATGGTCTTTGGGCCCAAAAGCCTTAATATATGAGTCCTTAGATCCCTAAATCCTATAGATCCCTTTAAAGGACCCCTTATAAGAGCCCCTTTAAAGCAACCGAATATGAGTCCTTAGATCTCTAGGGTAAAGCGTTTCCAGGCCACGCTGGTAACTCTACTTATAACCCATCTTCGGGGACTTATATCCCCACTTGTAACTACCCAGGCCCCCGAGAGGCTCTAGAAAGAAGATCCCCTAATTTGGGGCCCTATACTACTAAGGGTACTTTATAGGAACCCCCATTAAGGGATCTACTTTTTGGATCCTCCCGAAAATCGGGGTACCCATGAACCTCCAAGTTTCAAACCCTAAACCCTAAACCCCAAACCCTAAACCCTAAACCCTAAACCCTAAACCCTAAACCCTAAACCCCAAACCCTAAACCCTAAACCCTAAACCCTAAACCCTATCCAGGCCACGCTCACCCCCAAGGAGGCAGTTCAGGCTGTGGAGGCTGCAACGAAGGCCTGGGAGCGAGGACGCCCGGGTGGAGAGAGTTATAGGGTTTAGAGTTTTAGAGTTTGGGTTTATAGGGTTTTAGAGTTTAGGGTTTTGGGTTTTGGGGTTAGGGTTTAGGGTTTTGGGGTTTAGAGTTTAGGTTTTAAGGTTTTGGGTTTTAGGGTTTTGGGTTTATAGGGTTTAGGGTTTTGGGGTTTTGGGGTTTTGGGGTTTTGGGTTTTGGGTTTTGGGTTTTTCGGGTTTAGCGTTTGGGGTTTTGGGGTTTAGGGTTTTGGGTTTAGGGTTTAGGTTCACAGGGTTACCAGTTTGTAGGGTTTGGGGTTAATTACTGTAAGTTTTTAACGGCTATTATGAAGACTTAGTGTACGGGCCTTACTAGTTAGAGTTCATATGGGGTTTCCGAAAATAGGGGACCCTAACAGCGTACCCTAAAATTTAAAAGGACCCCTAAATAGTGAGGTACCCCT